CAACATGCTGGATTCACAAGTCACTACATTCTTGTATATCCCAAGCAAGTGTAAGAAACCCGCACAGCATAGCTGTGTAAGACAGCAAGACAACTTACTGCCAGACAGACATTTTTTTTTTTTTTACATTGAGGTCTATGTCTACTCTATGCTGAAGAATTACTTGACAGGTGGACCGTCACCGGGAAAATATAATATAGATTTCTTTTGAAACACTTACACAATTCCTAGCAATTCTGATAATTTTTCTTTTTACTTTTAGGTACACTAGACATGTGTACCATAACAGGTTGGCTTTCAATTGGGGAGATGTAGCAACTCCAATTCTTTTCACCCCTTGTGGCTAAAAACACCTTTGCATACTTTCTGTGAAAAACCATACTTCCTTTGCTCAATCAACGTGGGTGAGAGGGTTGAGGGGAACACTTTCTCTATATGAAAGCCAGTAGGTTTAGTAGTTGGAGTAGTTGGAGCATTAGAAGTTATGAGGACATTCTGGACTACAGGCAGTATTTTGAGTTAGGGATAGTGTTGTGTAAGAATTGGGATATGCTTAACGTTGGCCTTTAAGGTTAGCGTTAAAGGGACACCATTCGTTGTTAAACAGTTTTCAAGCCATTAACATGGAATGAGGGTCGCTGGCTGCCCACGGCCCAGCTCCCAGCTTCCACTAGAGGTGTGGCAAAGGAAGAGATTAAACTCTTACCTAGCCATACCAATTCATAGCAGCAATGGATAGATGTGATGTCTGAAAGCTGTCAGCTGACACTATCAGCCAGTCACCATCTCCCACTGCTGCGCATTCTAATGTTTCCTTATTAGCCACAGAGGACAGACTGCTGCTGATTCTCATTTAGTGCTAAACCATGACTGTGCAAGGGGACTCCAGACAGTATAGCCACTGCAATGAGATAGCAAAAGAAAAACATGGCACAAGAGAATACTATGAACGGACAACAGCTCAAATAGCTTCACCTTCAGTAGGTCCACAGTCAGTTCTCAAATTGGTTTTAGCTCATTTTTTGCCATTATAGAGACTATTCCCAAATCGGACCGATCCCACCCAAAATGGGCACAAATCCAACATGCAAGCCAGTTCCCTCTGCACGAGAGGTAAAGCACCCAGACGATCATTTAAGCCTTGTTAGTCCTCGTGAATGAGGTATAGCCGATACACCTCTAGGCACAGCAAGCAAAGGTTCCATATCTGGATTACTCTTTAAACTTAGGGAAAGCAAAAAAAAACAACCAAGAGGGGTATTGTCTGTACCTCATTGACGAAACCTAACAAGACTAAATCGTCTGGGGTTGCTGTTTCTCTTGTGCACGGATCAGGCTCCTCAGACTGAATACAGCAATCCCATAGTGTTCTGTTCAGTTTGAGCACCAACTGGCCGAGTATGTGTCTGCAAGTAATACATGTGCTTATAAATACCCACCAAATATAAACAATGTGTATAAGTTCCCTTTTATTTAAAGCCTCACAAACACACAAAAACAGAATCAAATCATTTTATGCAAAAAAGAGCCCCACAAGTGATACAAAAATTATCTACCATTAAATAAATAAATCACATGTGAGAAATACCCTCTGGAAAATGGAATAGATGAACTCAATACAATGGAAATGTAAATAAATAAAATCCAGTGATTCTGTTTCAGGTGTATAGTCGGGGCACGTTCCTCAAATTAGAAGGATGGGAGACACAGCATAAATAAAAGAAAATAAATAAAATAGCAATAAATAAAATGTTCAGGCCATTTCGTCCTGTTCTGGACTTCTGGATATCCTTGAAGCCTCCAGCCTCATACTTTGGTCTCCAGGTGTCACGTATTCATCCGCTTATAGAAATGTGGTTAATGACATTTACTGTCCACACAGGAAAAGTTGTGCCGAGCAGCAACCTAATCCACAGAAGGTTTAATGCTGAGCAGTAATTGTGCAAATGAAAACCTGGTGTCATGTATTCATCCGCTTATAGAAAAGTGGTTAATGACATTTACTGTCCACACAGGAAAAGTTGTGCCGAGCAGCAACCTAATCCACAGAAGGGTTAATGCTGAGCAGCAATTATGCAAATGAAACCTGGTAACTGACTTTGGGGTCAAAGGCCGGTTACAGCCTATCAGAACTAAAGGAGGGGTATTTAGGCCCAGTTCTCAGCCTGCTCAGTGCCCTGTCGTGGTTTCCCTTGTGGTTGTCTGAGAGCGCGTTCCTGTTTATAGTTTTCTACCTGGTTTTTGACTTTGGCTTTGTTTATTGACTTCTCTATATTCTGGTATCCTGACTCCTGGCTTTCCTCATCGCTGTGTCCCTTTCTGTGTTCCCTGACCTCGGCTAGTATTTTTGACTATTCTTTGTACGTTAAATCCGGCCATTCTAAGGACCGGTAATACGTTACTTATTTGTCATCCGTGCTGTACAGTTCTACATGCTGGATCAAACAGTAATCCTGACACCAGGTAAAGTAGCAGGCATAGAGAGAGAGAGAGAGAGAGAGAGAGAGAGAGTGTGTATGTATGTGTGTGTGTGTGTGTGGTTAGCAACGTGTGGGAAAAAAAAATGAACAGTGTTTAGGCTTGAAAGTAGTTTACAGTGTAAGAATAGAAAACAGTGTGTGAATAGTTAAAGGGACACTGTAGGTGTCGTATATAATTTACTGCAAACCAATTAGTTTGAATGACTATCTGTTCCTGTCCAAATTAAAGATAATAAAGTTGCGTGCACGCAGAAGTAAATTCACACTGAGACACAAAGTTCAGGTTAATGAAAGAACTCCGGAGAAGTTTAATGGCTTCTGACAGAAAATGGGTGCGCAGACCCTTATAAAGGCATTATTACATCATTGAAGAAAATCAAGATATAGACAAATAGACATTGTTAATTGGCTTAGGTGCTAAGATGTTAGTAAAATGCCCTCCCCATTCTTAGGTCACTATCTACGTAATTTCTTAACTCCTACAGGTCTTAGCGCCATTTTGTTAAAATGAGGAGCTCACTCGACGGGAGGGGCCTTTTGGCAGCTATCCATTTGGAGCGTAGCTGGCACTTGTTAGTTTCTCAAGGTTAAGTTTCAAGGATTTTAGTAAATACACATTTTATCAAAGCTATTTCTTGCTGACATGCAAATTCTATGTTCTATAGACAAAGCTTCCTTGTAAAACTATGGGGGCCTCTTAGAGGTATAGCAAGAGGATTTAAAGGGGCCTTACAAATTTATAGAGGCCTAATAATTCTACAACATAGGCACAATATCTACTCCATCTCACTGAAATGGTTTTGTGTGTGTGTGTAGCAACGTGTGGGGAAAATATGAACAGTGTTTAGGCTTGAAAGTAGTTTACAGTGTGAGAATAGAAGATAGTGTGTGAATAGTTAAAGGGACACTGTAGGCACAAATCTACTCCATCTCATTGAAATGGTTTTAGTGTCTGGAGTCCCCTGGTGCTGTCCTTTCATTCAGTGTTAAACAGCTTTTAATTTTTGTGTGTATTAATGCTAAATGAGAGTCCCCAGCAGCCTATCTTCTCTGTGCTGTTTAGGCTAATGAGGAATTATAAGACTGAGCATCAATTTATGATTCTGAGAGTGTCAACTGACTGCTTTTAGCCTATCAGGGCACTAATTGCCAGCAGGAATAAGTATGGCTACAAAAAGGGTGTAATCTCTGCTTTAGCCACACCTCCAGTAGAGGCCATACTGTGGGAGTCCAGGGACCCTAATTTACTGTTAAACTGCTCAAAAATGTTTGACATTGAATAGAGTGATAGTGTTAGGGGGCTACAGACACTATAACCAATTCACAGAGATTAAATTGTTATAGTGCTTGCTATGCACTTAACAGTGTGTTATTGTGTACGGAAAATAACAATGTGTGAGTGGTTGTGTACAGGCTCCTTTAAATCTGAGGAAACTCTGTGTCTTTGTCACTTCTCCTGGCACAGACATTAGCAGTGTTTCTTGAGCCTTGAGTCAGATCGTGGCTATTATAAGACATTCTAATGCCCAGCCATCTCATCCATCGTTTATGAGAAATATTGGCTTATTGGCAAAAGTCTTCATAGCTGATGACTTCAACGGTGGAGGATCAGATTGCAGTGAGAACATTGTCCTTGCACTTGATTAAAGTTCAGTTTTTATGCCTTTTTAAGACTTTTTTTCTCTTTCAATGGCAAGCCGTATTATTCTCAACCAATATTGGGAAAACCCAGAAAGAGTTCTAAAAAAAAAAAAAAAAAAATTATTTTTAATGTTAGAATTCCTTTAAGAATAGTTAAAACAATAATTGTGATGTGTGAACTGTTGGGCTGTGTATGAGTGTGTGTATGTGTAATTGTGATGTATGGACTGTTGGGCTGTGTATGAATGTATGAGTTTGTGTATTGTGATGTATGGGCGTTTGGGTGGTGTATAGGTGTATGTGTAACTATGAGATTTGTTTTATAATTCGTTATTTTAGTAGTGCATAGAAAGAAACATAAGCTGGTAGTGACATGACATTGATAAGTAATATGACAAAGTATATTGCAGGTATATAACAGGTCATGTCTAAAGACTTGCACTTTTTTTAATAAACATTCAAAAGGTGAGAAACCTCGACATGCACAAAAAACATTGAGTAGAGATAATTGCAAGCTTGTATTGTGCATGTCAAGAAGTCTAATCAGTTGTCAGTATAATAAACTAAGGTATGTTACTGCTCATACTAGGGCCACTGTGAGGAAGTTACAAGAGACTTTGAGAGATGCTGTATGATTACCAGTGGCCTGGTTAGAAATACCGCCAGCACATCTTTATAGTGACATATATGCTAGGCCTACATGATAGACAAGATATGTTGGAATTAAGACTAGGCGATCAGCTCATAAACCAGCAAGATCACACACATAAAAAAACAAAACATAAGTAGTAAACAGTATGGAGGCTGTTGGGAGCTGAGTAAATTAATGTTGTCTTGGGTGTTTGAAACCGAAGGAAAATAAAATAAAAAAAGTTCAGCCTATGCCCAGACAGGATGTACTGAGTGGGCTATGAGAGTTTTCCCGACCCAGGCCCGAAGAGATGCTGATTGTGGCAAGTTGCAATTTCCCATTTTCGCACTCCCATCCCCAGATATGCTCAGGGAGCAACACGCCAGATTTTGGGGCCACTTCACGCCGTTTTCGCAAGGCTTAACGGTGGTTACTCCCCAGATCAGAGCCAGTGGGTCGTCTTCTGGGATCTCTCCCTTCATATCTTGCTGCTCAGGATGATAATGGCTGATCGAGGGGCATGGACGCAGGTACCTTTCAGGATGTAGAAGCGTCGGGTCGACGATTGGTAAGCTGAGCTGCATGTTTCTATCTCCCAGCTCTCTCCAGAGGCGTATGCAGGGCTCTCAATAAGGCAGCAGAAAGACCTTCTTCCACCTCTTGTGTGGCTCTGCTGTTCATGTTGTCCAGGAACATGAGGTGCCGCCATCTTAGGTGTGTTTAGCGGTCGGTGCTGATCGCCTTTGTGGTTTAGCAGGTTTGGCAGAGAAGTGTGCTGGCGGGGACCGGGATGACCCCCACCGGTTCAGAGGGGGGGGAAACAGGACCAGTCAGTTGCTCCGTGGGAGAGCCAGTGTGGGGCTGTGAACAAGGAAGCAAGGAGGCGGCCGTCCACCCCGCTCCTCGCTCGACTAGGCCTCAGATTCCAGAGTCTCGATTGTTTGTTTCAGGCTTTAGTATTCCCGGATCTGGACCCGGCCCCAGCTGTCAATTAAGTGGCAGATTATTGCTCCTGGGCTCCGAGTTGGTACAGGCTCTGCCGAAATTCAGCTTTAAGCCAAAGCCCGCAGGAGCTGCTCAGACATGCGACTTGCCTGCATGGCGGTCCGTCCCTGTCCCCCAACTATGAGATTTGGACTGCTGGGCTGTGTATGAATGTGTGAGTGTTGTGAGTTTGTGTATTGTGATGTATGGGCGGTTGGGCTGTGTATGAATGTGTGTATTGTGATGTATGGGCGGTTGGGCTGTGTATGAGTTTGTGTAATGTGATGTAGGGGCGGTTGGGCTATGTATGAATGTGTGAGTGTTGTGAGTTTGTGTATTGTGATGTATGGGCGGTTGGGCTGTTGTTGGCTGTGAATGATGCACTTCCTTTCTTTTGGTTCTTTACTTCCTGTTCCTGTTGGCAGTTGGTGGAATGTTCGAGGGATTTGAAACCCTGTGTAACAAGGTTGCAATATGAAGATCCTGTTATATATGTATTAATTCTATCTATCTATCTATCTATCTCATGGGTTGAAAGGCTTGAACAATATTTCACAGCTAATGATATTGCTGTTTTCCTAATAGTTATAGGAGCCAGAATGTATGAAATGCTAAGAAGTCTCTTGCAGAAACCTGCCAGCAAGCCATTGACAAGCTTGATTACTCTGTTTAGTAACCATTTCCAACCAAAACAGCTAGAGATAGCAGAGATTTAAATTCTATAAAAGAGGGCAGGAGCCTAGTGAATCAGTTTCAGCATAAGCCATTGCGTTACGGAAACTCGCCAGCACCTGCTGTTTTGGGGACTACCTGCCCACTGCTCTGCGAGACCAGTGTGTAAAGGGCATTGCAAGTGATGCAGTGCTAAGGAGACTGCTTACAGAAGAAGATTTAACATTTAAAAAGGCAATGAACATGGCAGGCATTATAGAACAAGCCTCTAAGGATGCTAATCTATTACACAGCAGACTGGACAACACACAGGAGGCAGATGCTTTAAAGTTAGATGCTAGAGCACAGAGTAAACTACAGAGAAAGAGACATTTAAAACAGAAACAATCACAATACAAATGTTATCGCTGTGGAACTGCTACAGGTCCAAGGATGCCAAGTGTCATGCTTGTGGTAAAATGGGCCACCTGCCAAGAGTCTGTAGATCAACAGCAGTAATCTTTTGAGAGACAGAGTAAACAATGCCTATAGGGTATAAATGAAGGCGTCTCCTGAAGATTCAGATGAACAATTTCCTGTAGTAAATGTAAAAATAAATAGCATAGGTTCTAATCTGGCTGCATTCACAGTTCAGATTGCTGTGAATGGCAAGGGACTGAGTATGGATTTGGGTACAGCTGTATCTGTGATTTCCTTGACACACTGGAAACTCCTTAACATACATAGGTCAATAATTCAGACAACAGTGAGACTTCAAACATATACCAAAAAACTGTTACCAGTGGGGTTTGTGACTGTCACAGTTACATTAAACAAGTGTAAGAAGAAACTAACTCTACATATCTTGAAATGGAGGACATCCACATTTTGGATAAAGGCTCTTGGGATGCCTGAAGTTGATAAGTATCCATGTCATGTGTTGAATGAAAAGCAGACGAGACTTGACTGGATTAGTTACATAGGAAGTATGCACCCATGTTTAATGGCCAGTTGGACCTGTAGAGGAACAACAAGTTTCCTTGGAATTAAAAGAAGGGGCAACACCACATTTTTTAAAGCAAGAAGTGTGCCATTTGCTCTAAGAGCAGGAATGGAGGCAGAATTAAGGACACCAGAGGAGCCGAATATCATCTCCAGGGTTCACAATAGTTAGTGGGTTACACACTGTTCCTGTGAGAAAAAGACATTGGGAGATATGGATTTGTGGAGATTTATGCATGGCTCTTAATGCACAGCTTAAAATAGAGAAGTATCCCCTTCCTAGGGTAGATTATATTTTTGCATCATTGGTAGGTGGCCAACTATTCACCAAAACTGACTTACAAAATGCATACCTACAGTTACCTGTACATCCAGATTCTCGACCACTACTTATGATTAATACTCATCTGGGGATATCCAGGTATAACTGTATAGATTTTGGCATTTAACCTGCACCAGTTGTCTGGCAGAGAACAATGGACAAGCTGTTGGCTGAAATTCCTGGAACACAGCGTTACATGACATGCTGGTGACGGGTAAATCATAAAAGGAACATAAAGCAGAATTTAGTAGAGGCAGTTTTAAAAAGACTTATGGAATATGGATTGAGGGTGAATTTGGATAAATGCCAATTCATGCAGTATCGTCTTGAATTTTGTGCTGATGTAATTGACAAATATGGGCTGCGTACAAAGAATGAGAAGGTCAAGGCCTTACAGGATGCTTGAACTCCACAAAATGTGACACAACTGAGATCCTATCTTGGTCTGTTAAATTATTACAATCATCTTTTGCTGAATTCAGCTCATGTGCTGTATGTACCCTTTGCATCGTCTTGTAGAGAGTAAACAAATATATATATATATATATATATATTTGTTTACTCTCTACGAGACGATGAAGCCCTAACTCTGGGGACCTAATATAAGTATCAGATGCAATATTGTCCGAACACCCTGTGTGCCAATGCAGTTGCCTTCCTTTGGAAATGGATTCACAAATAACTACCACAGAAAGAGGTACAATAACTTTTAGTGAGGTGATAACAGCTAATGAAATTGCACAGGAGACAGCCAAGGACTCTGTGCTGAGGGAAATAATTGCTTATGTATGCAAGGGTTGGCCACCAAAGACTCCAATTTATTCCAAGTCATTCTAAACAAGGAGTTATCAATACGAGATGGCTGTTTAATCAGGGAAGAAAAAGTTGTTATCTCTATTGTGCTACAACAACAGATTCTTGAAATTTTACATGCAGGTCATCCTGGCATAGTCTGCATGAAGCAAAAGGCAAGACGTCCAGGGCTGTCTTTACTATTGACTGGGCCCTGGGCAAGCATTTGTTTGGGCCCCTGGCCCTCGCCCTGAAGCACAACATACAAAAGAAGAGGCCTGTGGCCTTTGTGCATTGTGTTTATGGCGCAGCTATGTTTCATGACTGTGTGTGTATGATGAATCTCTTCAGGGGGTGACCGTGGCAGGGTGAGTAAAGGGGTAACTATGGAAAGGTGGGTGTGACAGGGCCAGAGCGGTAAATTAGACAGGGTTGGACAGTGAGTGTGACAGAGTGTGTATGAAAGGGTTGGGGTTAGGGTGGTAAATGTAACAGGGTGGTGTGGCATGGTTGGAAGGTGAGTGTTACAGTGTTGGGGTGAATGTGGCATGGTTGGAGGAAGGAGTGTGACAAGCTGAGGGGAGGTGAGCGTTATGTGACAGGGTGAGTGTGGCATGGTTGGGGGTATGAGTATGACAGAATTGGAGGGGTTAATGTGATAGGGTAAGTGTGGCAGAGTGATGGGAGGTTAGTGTGGCATGGGTGAGTGTGACAGGATTGGGGGAGTTTTGTGAGTGTGGCAGAGTGAAGGAGGTGACAGTGTGTTACTGTGTGTGTGTGTGTGTGTGGGAGGGGTGACTGGGGTGTGTTTGTGTGCAGTGTTAGTGTTGGAATTCAGGGGAGTATACATTACCACACACAAAGTTATGCACACACACCGAAGCATGCAGACACACAGGTACACATACACAGAAAATCAGGTGCACAAACACACAGGTAGACATACACAGACACACAGGTGCACATACACATTGACACACAAGTACACATACACACTGACATAAAAACACATATATGCACAATGTCAGGTACGTAAACAGGTACATACATATACAAATAACAATTTACATATTTTAGCCACCCTCCTGTTAACTTACTTTTGATGCTTAAGGGTGGTTTTTTACTGGTGTCCAGAGGGCACCAGGCTTCCTCAGTTCCTCTCCTCATCTGGATGTGGTGCCTTCTACCCACGAGGCACTCTTTTAGCTGAGAGGAAGTGACCTGTCCTGAACTCACTTCCTTGGGATAACAAAGTGACAGGGGCCCAGTCCGGGGGAATTTTCAGGGGCCACAGCCCCTGATTAATTGGTTGCAGTCTAATGGGGCAGCTGCTTTGGGCCATCCAGGAATAACTGGGCCCGGGGCAGCTGTCCCTTGATAAAGACGACCCTGAAGAGGTCATATGGACAACCATTGAAGAGGATAATTCCCGTTATGTTTCAGGTTGCACTGGCTGTGCCACATAGTGCAGTACAACCTTGACCCTGGACTCTATCCCCATGGCAGAGAATTCAGATATATATCCAAAAGGTGCTCTGTGCATAAAGAGGGCACTTAACAATGGTTTAAAATATATTTATAATTGCCGCTACTACACTCTAGTAGGTATCTCTCTCACCCGCCTCCAGAGTGGAATGCTAAAAAATATAATACAGCACACACTTACCTCTCAAATAGGGATATTTAACATTTGTTAAAATACTGCGCAACTGGGGGTGAAAACAGAGAACTCTGTGGTGTGTACTCAACACTTTTGTGAATATGGAGAGAAACACTAACATGGATATGAGCCTCAAAAGACAGGCTCAGATCATTTCAACAGGACTGTACTCAGGTGACACAATCCCCCCTATTGTCCAAAGGATGTTTGTTTAGAAGAAAAAAAAACAGAAAAAGAAGCAGCAACTCCTAGTGTAATATGTCATGTACAGTATACAGATTTTTATATAATGAGGTAACTGCTCACCATGACCAGAGCCAAGGTAAGATAAGTCATATAGACCATAGTTCTTTAGTTTAATATTTTGGCCAAACTGTAGGACATGTGACCACAGGAAGGAAAGCTTCCAGATGAGTGTGGACATTGTGCTATATGTTATATCTATCTGATCTGGTAGCTAACAGGTAGAGGGGAACATTCAGCAAGTTCTCATATATGTATTCCAATCCAGCATCCCAGAGGATAAAAAGGGTAGACATCATGGTTGCATACTAAATTCCATAAACATTACATAAATTTACCCTGCTTAACTCCTTAAGGACACAACTTCTGGAATAAAAGGGAATCATGACGGAATATTTCCGTCATGTGTCCTTAAGGGGTTAATGCCAAATTAAAATAGTAAAGTAAATATTACTTGTTTTAATCTTAGATTACGTTATTCCAACGTCTGCCCAGCCCTGCACAATATATTTGCAAACTCTATATTAACTAAAATTGCTTAAAACTTTAAAGGACTTATTACTATATTTTGTAGTTGACTATATTATTGTTTTTTTTTAAATATATTGTTAGATTATTATTTTATTCAATCTAAAATGGCTTTTTTTTGTCACCTTTTTACACATTTTCCTATTTCTGTTAAATTAGCACTTTAAAGGAACACTATGGTCACCATAACTACTATAGCCCAATAGGTGCTGTCCCTACAGATTCTGCAATGTAAATGCACCCATTTCTGATAAAAGGCAGTGCTCTCATTCCTGCCTAAGTTCCCCTCTAATGGCTATGACTCAGACAGCTGCTAGAGGTGCTTCCTGGATGAGGTCCACAATCTTTACAGGACTTAAGTTCAGCATCTACACGCTCTGCATGGAGATGCTGAATGCTCCACAGTCATTGATTTAATGCATTTCTATGAGAAGATGCAAACTGGTGCGGCACAGTGATTTTCCGTGCATGCACACTAACCTCCCAATGACTTTCTATGAGGTAGCATTGAATTGGCTGAGATGATCAGGATTGATGATCTCAGCCAAGGTGGCGGGACCAGCAGTGTGGAGAACGGAGCATTGATAGCTGAAAATTATGTAACTTGTTATTTATGCACATGAGGGGGTGGGAGGGGGAGACACCTTAATAATTAGCTTAACACTATAATGTTAGAAATACATGTTTGTATGCATAATGCCACAATGTTGCTTTAAGGGTCACTCTGTTTTCCATAACCATTTTAGCTGGTTCAGAGAACCTTTCCATGCAGTCTTTTGGAATTCAGAGTTTGTTTAACATTGGAGATGAGCTTTGATTTGGGGTCTGTCAAGCGGCCTGTTGTACGATTTTGTTAGAAAAATCAGTTTTGTCCAAATTGGTCTGAGCTCCCTCACTGCTCAGCCACAGATCACAAAAGCACCAACTGCTGTTCTGGTGCCCTGGCTGTGTGCAAACTGATAGCAGCAATATTCCTGCTGCCAACAGTTTATAGAGCACCTCTATTTGTCATAAGTGATAAATAGAACTGCTCCTGGAGGATAAACTACTTATCCCATAAAGTCCTTAAAATGGGATATTCCTGATTGGTGGAGTTTTCCAGGAGATGGAATGGGTCTATTTGTAACTACAAGAAGTCATAGAAAGTGTATGTTTACAGGGAAAGTGAGAGGTAACTTTTATTCAAGTTTGCTTTTTTTTTGCATTATTATCCATACACAAAATAGTAATAATTTTGCACCTGTAGTTTCTATTCCCCCTAAATTTCTTAAGCTGTAACCATGTTTTTTTTTAAAAAATAGCAGACAGATTTACTAAATGGTTGTAACGGCTGTAGCTGCTAAACAAAGTTACACTTGGAAGTCAGACCTGAAAACATATCTGTGATACTTACTATCATGAATCAAAACTTAACTTCTGAACATAACTCATCTTAGGCAGAGAATCTAAAAACGAGTGTTAAGTTGTAATTTAAAGGGACACTATAGTCACCTGAACAACTTTAGCTTAATGAAGCAGTTTTGGTGTATAGAACATGCCCATGCAGCATCAGTGCTCAATCCTCTGCCATTTAGGAGTTAAATCCCTTTGTTTAGGAACCCTAGTCCCACCTCCCTGCATGTGACTTGCACAGCCTTCCATAAACACTTCCTGTAAAGAGAGTCCTATTTATGCTTTCTTTATTGCAAGTTCTGTTTAATTAAGATTTTCTTATCCCCTGCTATGTTAATAGCTTGCTAGACTCCGCAAGAGCCTCCTGTATGTGATTAAAGTTCAATTTAGAGATTGAGATACAATTATTTAAGGTAAATTACATCTGTTTGAAAGTGAAACCAGTTTTTTTTTTCATGCAGGCTCTGTCAATCATAGCCAGGGGAGGTGTAGCTAGGGCTGCATAAACAGAAACAAAGTGATTTAACTCCTAAATGACAGTGAATTGAGCAGTGAAATTGCAGGGGAATGATCTATACACTAAAACTGCTTTATTTAGCTAAAGTAATTTAGGTCACTATAGTGTTCCTTTAAAGCATTAAACCGTAGACATGTGCAATTCATCTTGGTTCGAATTTAAATTCGGGCGAATTTCGGCAATTTGGATGCTTCCGAATGTCCCATAGGAATAAAATGGATTTGGTAAGAGTGTAAAAAAATTGAATCATTGGCAGAGCCAGCACATGCCAAACACAGCCCTGGTCAATCAGCATCTATTCATAGAAATACAGTGAATCAATGCATCTCTATGAGGAAAGTCGAGTGTCTCCATGTCGAGGGTGGAGACACTGTGCAGCACTGCCCCAGGAAGCACCTCTAGTAGCCATCTGAGGAGTGGCTAGTGGAGGTATCCCTACGCTGTAATGTAAACACTGCCTTTTATTTGAAAAAAACAGTGTTTATTGCAAAAAGCCTGACGGGACTGATTATACTCACCTGAACAAATACAATAAGCTGTAGTTGTTCTGGTGACTATAGTGTCCCTTTAATCAACACACAAAAGGACCAAGGGATGTCCCTTTGGCCACAAATACAATGTAGCTATTTAACTTTATATTTTTCTCCATTTACAACCACAAATACATACCTTAAATACCTACCATAATTCATTATGGCATATTTAAAAGCAGACCTGTCATTTTTTTTCCTTTTGGTTTTCTTTCCTTATGCCCTTCGAATCTTAAGAATTATAATCTCCTCCTTGCAACTTGCCTTAACTTATATTTATCTTTTCTTTCCTGTACCATACTGTACTGGGTGCAGCGTTTTTATTCTCCTCTGTCATGATGTCTGCTATTTGCCTTCTGTAGAATTGATTTTACTGGTGGATTGTGGGTATATTTAATTGGCTATTGAAACAGAACCTTGCTTTAAGCTCCGCCAAATGTCAAGTTTTGTCAATCTGTTATACATAAGGAAAAGTAGTCCATACTTTTATTTATGTATTTAATGAAAACTAGAGCGCTCAGGAAATAAGTAAAGATTCAGAGACATGGAGTGTTGTAGAAACACAGCATATGATTTTTATTCGCTTTAAGAGAAAAGGCAGACTTTATTGCTTTTTAATAGTTTGCCATAGACTCTGGCGAGGCGTTCCACTGTGGGTTGACAAATGAGAACCCTTCAAAAACTTTTGATCTTCTGAGCCAATAGGTGTCTTGAAGGCCTCTGTTGAAGACAGGGGATTCTCCTGTGTCCCAGATGGTAAAGGACAGTCCAGCTGTGGCTACAGGAGAAGATACAACGCTGCTGTAACTGGCTTGTCTTTTTTAAAAACAAAAAAAAACAAATTTCCTGTAATGTACCTAAGTCTTCTATCTAACCATCAGTTGCAACATGTTACAGTATAGTGGTAATATTCCGGTCTAAATGACCACAAATAAAATAGACATGAAAGAAAATACATCTAATAGTTCTTGGTTTGGTTTAAGACCATTTTGCACCTAGTTTACAATGGTTTAGGCAATTAATTTACTTTTTTTGTCATCTAATATTATACCTCAGGACCTTTGTTGTCTTGCTTATCTTTTTTTACAAACACGGTCTGTTAAATCATCAGACTTATACTTAGCCACAGTTTTAATGGTCAGTGTAATTACCGCAGTTACTAAGGGGGATCTAATCTGCCGGCCTCCAGCTCCAACCAGTCAATGGATTGATAAAACCGGTGGGAACGAATATTGCCGTTTACCCCCAAACGCTTGGCTGGTGACATGCACAGGAGCTATATAGAGAAACAGTAATGTGTTGGTTATAAACGTTCCCATCATTTTAAACAACTGTCCAATAAACAGATTGTAAGTTATCTGATGATCCTTATATTTATATGGAATGAATTTTAAAAATCTAATAACAATAAAAAACATGTTTTATATTGTGAGCGTAAAAGTGGAATTGTGCTTGATGGAAGATACATCAGGCCTGATTTGTTAAACAGCAACCTGAGAATTTTCAGTTAAGTGCCCCAGGGCGAGATGTTAGAGTTTGCAATCTACATTGCTAAGGTTCTGCAAAACACGGTATGGGTCCCTGGGGCGGAGTATTTGGAGAGCAGGGTGGGCCAATGCTCCAACAGCATTAGTTGCTGTGTAACAGACCACTATTTGAATCTGACTTGCGAGTTATTTAATTGGCACTCACCTGTAGCCAGTCAATTAGTAGACAGGCCTTTAAAAGAAGAGGGCAGCCTGCGGCAGAGTGAGGGAGAAAAGACAGCTAGGAGAGATTGTGGTTATTGCAAAGACATTTCTTTTGTTTGGAAAATTGGTAAGTGGGAAAGCCACCCAATTGCAGATAGCAATTACTGTCTAGTAAGAGCTCAAGTAAGAGCAAGGGGTTTTGTTTGTTTTTGTTATTATTTAAAGCACCTGTTTTCTTACTGAATAAAAAGGAAAACCGAGCTGAATGTGTCCTGGACTTTGTATACCCTAGAAGGCTGTGGTTACTGCAAGATTTGTGACAATCCTACCTGTAAAAGAGGTGGTTTGTTACAATATAAAATGTTATATTATATGTTATGATACCAAAGCTTTGTAATATAATTCACCCATAGGTGTAAATCAGTTATGATCAAAAAAGGACGTTCCTGTTGACATCGAGAAAATGAGTCCAAACGCCCACCAATCAACGCCAGCATTATACCTCTCGACATTCATCGTCTGCCAAATATAGGAGCGATGTGACCTGCATTGCCTGCTTTTCTCTGTGCTGTTTTTCCACATGTTCTCCAATACAAGCCCCAAACCAGTGAATATTATTACATTTTCAGTTATGTTTTGTTTAATCTTTGCACATAGTTACCGTACTGTATGAATCTGATGAACCTTTCACGTATATGGAATGAATACAAAAAAAGTCTAATAACAATAAAAAAGATAATTCATAAAAAAGCTTTGTAATACACACCTGTTTTAGAATATCCTGTGTCTCTATACTTACAAAATTATGGTGACATGAAGATTTCGTAAGCAATAATTCGCCCATATGTGTTAATTGGTTGTCAAAATAAAAAGGAGACATTCCTGTGGCCATCTTGAAAAGAATTATTCCAAATGTCCACCAATCCACAGCAGCATTATAGCTCTCTCCATTCTTAATCTACCAAATATATAAAATCAGAGAGATCTACTCAGCAGGCCGCCCACACAGATCTAGTTTGGGAAATATATTATATAATATAAGTTGTGCTACATAGGATGGTTTTGTATCAGTTACGTCTAACTCTGTCATTGTTGAATTCTATGGACTAAATTTCCCATGATGTTCAGCAAAACTAAAGGCTGGCTATAAATACTGGAAATAAGGTTTACACATCTGCAATTATTATTATTATTTTATTATTTGTATAGCCCCAGCAAAATTCTGTAGCGCTGCACAATGGATGGACTAACAGGCACGTAATTGTAACCAGACAAATGGACGCACAGGAACAGAGGGGTTGAGTTTACATGCTAGAGGGAGTATATAAGATTAACAATCATAACTTTTATATAAAATGAAATGACATTTTACATTGTTTGTTTTGTTCCTTTTTGTTCCAGAATTTCAGAAGTTAGAGGAGCACTATTAATTATTTTTTAAATAACAATTTAGTAGATATACCCCCAAAGAAAACATGCAACTAATTGTTTTTGCATGTTTTTTATTGGCAGTATATGAAATTGTAGTTTGCAATAGGTGCAGATCTAGTATCTGCAGTTACTACATTTCTCCAATTATCTCAATACCCAATTAGAGGTTTCTCATTGAGAAGCCTTGCATTCCAGGCAGAGTGTGCTGTCCAATCACTGACATGTCTTTGTTCAGTTCACTGAGCAGTCTTAAGGCAGCTGCTCCGAGTATGCGCCCAGGTTAGCTCAATGGAATTAAACTTGGAGCAAGCAACATCCTATTGTCTGTCTGACAAATTCTATTGAAATTGGCACTTTTCTTAAATGGAAAAGGAGGGCACAATCATCACACATAAAGCACTTTGGGGAGCTGAAGTCCAAAAAAACTGTCCATATAAGGCATGATAAATATAAGGCCCGATAAATTCATTCACGCATTTTGGACCATTAATTAATATTTACTATACCAGAAATGTTCACCTTTCTTGTTTTAAATGTGCCAATACACTCTAAGAATACACACCCTGATTTTGCAGTTTCTCTCTCTTTTTAAATACTTTTATTAATTGGCATCACCTTCAACAATTCATTTTTTTAAATGTTGTCTCTTATTTATTTATAAAATATTTTACCAGGAAGGTTACATTAAGATTGCTCTTGTTTTCAAGTATGTCCTGGGTCCACAAACTTTCCATTATTACAATAGGGTACAATATAATATTAAAATACACATATATACATTTAACACAGAACAGGTAAGAAATATAATCAACCATGCTTACAGGTGCATTCTGTGCTGAGAAATGTTGACAGCAATCTCTTAAAGGATTTTAGATTGGGGGAAGATTTCATTGTGTCTGTGAGGTTACTCCATAACAGAGCGGTGCTCTGTAGGAAAATGAGGATCGATCCACTTTCTTTTTTTGTATTGTGGTATGCTAAAGTGCTGGTACTGGATCGGAGGCTATAGGAGGTGGGAACAGCCGGTGGAGGTCATTCTGCTCAGGTAGGGTGGGAGCTTCCCAGAAAAGCTCTTAAACACAAGGCTGGAAAGTTGAAGGATGCGTCAGGATTCCAGCGCCAGCCAGTTTAGCTATTTTAACATGTCACAATGGTGGGTCATGTAATTACGTTGTAGCACAAAGAGGCAGAATGACTTATACAACATAGTAAGTTTATTAAGGTGGGTTTGCAGCGCAGGTGCATACACTACATCCCTATATTCAATAACTGGCATTAGTATTTATTGTACAATCTGTTTCCTTACTGTAGGCTTATGCAGGATTTGTTTCTGTACAGGGCACCTAGTTTTGGATACAGTTTTGTTGAGAGGTTTTCAATGTGAAGGCCAAAGGCCAATTGGTGTCTAGCAACATACCTAGATATTTTAAAGAACTGTGTTTCCTTAAAGTCTGGCGCTGGCTGTCTTTAGCTCAGGCTGTAGGAGAGAGATTTATTAGGGTCTGATAGGCCTGCATTAAAGCTAAGGAATGGGGTAAATACTACTATGCACAGATGAGGAGAGATAAATACATAAAGGATGGTGAATTTGTCTTCCTCGTCACCTGGGAATATACACTGCTCAAAAAAAATAAAGGGAACACTTAAACAACACAATGTAACTCCAAGTCAATCACACTTCTGTGAAATCAAACTGTCCACTTAGGAAGCAACAGTGAGTGACAATCAATTTCACATGTTGTTGTGCAAATGGAATAGACAACAGGTGGAAATTATAGGCAATTAGCAAGACACCCCAAATAAAGGAGTGTTTCTGCAGATGGTGACCACAGACCACTTCTCAGTTCCTATGCTTCCTGGCTGATGTTTTGGTCACTTTTGAATACTGGCAGTGCTTTCACTCTATTGGTAGCATGAGACGGAGTCTACAACCCACACAAGTGGCTCAGGTAGTGCAGCTCATCCAGGATGGCACATCAATGCGAGCTGTGGCAAGGTTTGCTGTGTCTGTCAACGTAGTGTCCAGAGCATGGAGGCGCTACCAGGAGACAGGCCAGTACATCAGGAGACGTGGAGGAGGCCGTAGGACGGCAATAACCCAGCAGCAGGACCGCTACCTCCGCCTTTGTGCAAGGAGGAACAGGAAGAGCACTGCCAGAGCCCTGCAAAATGACCTCCAGCAGGCCAGCATGTGTCTGCTCAAACGGTCAGAAACAGACTCCATGAGGGCACGACTTCCACAGGTGGGGGTTGTGCTTACAGCCCAACACCCTGCAGGACGTTTGGCATTAGCCAGAGAACACCAAGATTGGCAAATTCGCCACTGGTGCCCTGTGCTCTTCACAGATGAAAGCAAGTTGACACTGAGCACGTGACAGACGTGACAGAGTCTGGAGATGCCGTGGAGAACGTTCTGCTGCCTGCAACATTCTCCAGCGTGACCGGTTTGGCAGTGGGTCAGTAATGGTGTGGGGTGGCATTTCTTTGGGGGGCCACACAGCCCTCCATAGAGGTAGCCTAACTGCCATTAGGTACCGAGATGAGATCCTCAGATCCCTTGTGAGACCATATGCTGGTGCGGTTGGCCCTGGGTTCCTCCCTAATGCAAGACAATGCTAGACCTCATGTGGCTGGAGTGTGTCAGCATTTCCTGCAAGATGAAGGCTTTGTTGCTATGGACTGGCCCGCCCGTTCCCCAGACCTGAATCCAACTGAGCACATCTGGGACATCATGTCTCGCTCCATCCACCAACGTCACGTTGCACCAGAGACTGTCCAGGAGTTGGCACATGCTTTAGTCCAGGTCTGGGAGGAGATCCCTCAGGACACCATCTGCCACCTCATCAGGAGCACGCACAGGCATTGTAGGGAGGTCATACAGGCACGTGGAGGCCACACACACTACTGAGCCTCATTTTGACTTGTTTTAAGGACATTACATCAAGGTTGGATTAGCCTGTAATGTGACGCCAAATCCAGACCTCCATGGGTTCAAAAATTTGATTTCCATTTTTTTATTTTTGTGTGATTTAGTTGTCAGCACATTCAACTATGTAAAGAACAAAGTATTTCAGAAGAATATTTAATTCATTCAGATCTAGGATGTGTTATTTTTG